TTTGGAGTGAGGGTGGGGGGGGTCAACTAAGTTGTTATGAAATGCTGCCGAATGAAAATCACCAAATAACTTTGGTCCTATCCATCGTGACAATGACGTATCTGAGAGACCAAATTTGAAGTTAAGCTGCAGAGCTATCAACAATATCTACGTAGCCTACTGTAAAGCGTGGTCGGCGAATACTAAAAGCTACTTGTATTTTTGGATCGATGTAAAAGACCACCCGCTGGATATCATGAAACTTTGACATAACTTGTACCTGGTCCTTTTTATCTTCCTCATCAAATGAGTTCTCTCTAAAATACTCCCTGTGACCTCTGAGTGCAAGTTGTCGCTTTATGTTGACCGAATTTCAAATGATTCAACACAAGTCATAAAGTAGCAAAATAATGTATAAATAACTATAATTCAAGAAAACCAACAGGCATACATTGTGTTCTGAGTCAAGTGAACATCGGTTATAGTTGGGGGGGGGGTGGAGGGCTGTTTCTTTGTTTGTTGTAACACCCATAATCTTCGGCACTTACATGACCGACCTAACTGTGTTGAAAGTTCGGTAAAACTCCTACTAAAACTAAACAATGGGTGTTTGATTATGGCAACTGGTTGTTGGTGAACTTTGATCGTTACCAAAAAGATTGCGATAAATAAGTTCATCTTTGCTAGTTCCTCTCACGAGTTCCGAGTTTTCTTCTACGCTCGTATTTTTTCCTACACATAATGTATTAGCTAATATGACATTGTCATCATGACTAATTAATTGTGGGTTACGCGCACATTCGTCCTTTTCTTATGTTCGTCTTACTTTTGTCTAACGTCAGTTCTAAGCCAAAATAATTGTATTCCTCCAGAGGTCGCTGCAATAATGAAAACCATCTGCATATCCATTGCAGTTATAACAAATTATCTTGCCGATTTATATTTTTTTTTATGCGTTTGAAGGTAGAAAATTAGGTTTAACAAATTAAGGACTTTGTGGTTCTAATCTAGTCGGCTTTGACCAAGATGGGAGTGCCGAGCGAGGTTTCTGTGCTTGTTTCTGTGAGGGAATCGGCACATTCTACTGGTATGTGTTAGTGTTGACCATAGATAGTGTTAACACAGTAGGTTGGTAGTGCTTCCTTTCCAAGCACCACCCTTTCCTTGCGGGTGGTTGGAGGGCGTCACTGGTAGGTCTTATCTCTTTACTTTCCCTCTGTTGCTTGTGGGTTTTTTCCCCAGCACTATACATA